TTTCAACAGCTCTCTTTGAAATTAACACAGTCATTAAGAAATAAAAACGGCCTCATTTAGTAAGGGGTTGTCAGACTCCAGTTCTGGTTATCCGCATGATCTCTCTATCTTCTGCATCTTCACCTCACGGCTACTTTTAAACCTTCTATTCAATTAGATATCCGTGTCCGTTCTGCACGGTGTTTGTGGAGATCCTTGGCACTGGAAACAGCAAGGCTCCACCTTGAACGCCGAGACCTGGCCAGTCGCTCGGGCCGGGACTGAGGACAGTGATCCCCGGACATGAGGATTCACTCCCCACTGCCAGGACGGGGTTCAGATTCCTCAGCCCAGAATGCCAGCGCATGATTCCCCACACTCCCAACGCCCCAGCCTGGCTCTGAACGCAGGCCAGGGTCCTCCACACTGAAAACTGAATGTCTTTTGAGTGTAAAGATCTAGGGGGGAGATAGAGACGCGCTGCTGCAGAATCCCACACTCCGTTCTGCTTCTGTTCTGACTTACTCCTCTGGGTCAGCAGCCACAGACGGCTTGGTATGCCTCCCAGCACCTACTCAGCTTAGCTTGCCAAGACGGGGTTTGTGACTTGCTTTAAAACTAGAGATGTAGTGAGAACAGGGTGAGAAAATGGACCTATGACGCGAGTGGGATGGGACTGCCTTAGAGAGAAATACTGGCGCTGCACGGGAGAGAGAGAAAAAGAGAGAGAGAGAGAGCGCCAAATGAGAAAGAGATTGAGGAGGGGGGCTCAATCACCTGGACGACTCATGACAGGAGTCGGGTATAAGCAGTACAGTCTGTACAAGAAAAAGCCCGCAGTGAACAAAGCAAACACGGACAAACCGCAGCCCAGAGCGAGGCAGAAAGAGAAAGAGAGAGAGAGAGAAGTCTGGGCACAGGCCGTTCTGTACAAAGCCACCTCCATCCTCTCCACTGTGCAAAACGGTTACCCTTCCTTGAGGATGGAGACGAGCACTGGGCTCAAAGGAAAGGTATACACAAATACACACAGCCGATCGCTTTCATTAATCTCCTGCCACCCAGGGCCCCTCTTTCTCTCTAGATTCACTCCTAAAATACAATCTGTCTGTGGCTTCTCTTCTTGTCAGGAGTTCTCAGAGCAGGTACCGGAGAGAACCAGCGCCGACGAAGGCAACGACACTGGAAAGGTTATATAAGAGAGGGGTCAGGAGTCCAGAACCCCAGTCGCTACCCCCCCGGGTCTCTGGCCACTGCCAGCTCTCGTTTTAAAGGCACGCACTTCTTTGAATGTCTCCCTTCCACAACTGGAGAATCTGGGAGGAACTGTGTCAAAACACTTCTGAAATGTTATCATGCTACTCTGTATACAAGACCTATCTCTTCTAAAGTATTGGAGGCTATACCCTAGAATCCTGTTGCCATGTAGATAAGCCTCAAGTTTAGTTCCAATTCCCATAACCTTACATATAATAAAAAGGTTATTCATCTTTATAAGGTATAAATACCTTCATAAGGTATATTCATCTTTACTTACTTGTTTCAGTTCTGTTGCCCTGTTTTTGGATGGGTGGCTTTTTCTTCATTAGCCATTTGCCAGTCAGGGGGTATCACCCCTGCCCTGAGGGACTGTTGGAGGCTATCGGGTAAAGTTAGTGCTTAACAACTCTTGATCACTTCGATACAATTCATAACATGCCATTAGTACCCGGAGATTTGTTTAT